AGCGGAGGTGATTCAAGTACAGTTCTTTGGTGGAGGTTGGGTAGGCTTCCCTGAAGAAGTGAGTTTTCAAAGATCGCCTAAAGGCAGACAGGGTGGGGGCTGACCGGACTTGCTGTGGTAGGGAGTTCCAGAGGATGGGAGAGGCTCTGGAGAAGTCCTGGAGGCAAGTGTGGGAGGGGGTGATGAGACAGCTAGAGAGAAGGATATCATGGGAGGAGTGGAGTGGGCGATTTGGGCAGTATCTGTGGATGAGGTTGGTGATGTAGCTAGGGGCAGTGTTGTGGATGGCTTTGTAAGCTGTGGGATGACCAGGATGTATAATAAGTCTCCTTCACTGTCCTAGTTATCCTCCTCTTTTAGATTAATGCCAAAAACGACCAAAACATAGTGCTTTATCCTTGCAAAATATTTATTAAATAAAAAATATCCAGTATTCCACTCACATGTAAAATGTATATTAACGCTTTGTACAAAGTATCTCCCAAAGAGTACTGCTATCGATATGGAACTCTCATTTGCTAATCCCCAGCCAGCTGTACCACGCTCTCCGCCTTTCCTCCGAGTGGCGTGACGTCAAAGCCCCTCCCCTACGCGTTACGCCACAGGGTCACGTGGCTTCATCAGTTGGAACCAAACCCTATATTGGTTTTGGTTGATATTTAATGACATGTTACACATTTTGTATGGGTATGTGCATGGTGTGAGCGACTTAACAATTTGATTTATTTATCTTTGCTACAATGCTGGCTGTGGAGGGTAACAGACCAGAAACGGCTTTTCTCTCAGATCTGTAGCAGGGGATTGTGGGGAACACTGGGGGGAGAAGGGTGAAATCTAGACAAAGTTGGGTGGCTGAATACAGCAAGTGTCCGTGTCCTTCAGGGTGCTGAGATCTCTTCAGTGCAGGCAGTCCCTGGGTTACAAATAAAAAGCTCTGAAGGGTTTGTTCTCAAGTTGAATTTGTATGTAAATTGGAACAGGTACATTTCTTTAAATGCATCTCCAAACAAAAAAATTTTCAGTTTTTTTGGATAGCATAGTGAAGGTTTAACACCCCTGTAGTGTTTGTTGTGCTCTCTGTTCTGTTCAGAAGATTTCACCTCATTTTCTGTCCCTGTGAGAATTGGATTTTTAAAATTTGGGGTTGTCGTGGAAACAAGGATTGGTGATGAACCTTCAGTGGAGACACCTTTTTCCCATGATAACTTACAGGAGTGATTTTCCTTTCCTAGGGGTAGATTTCCTCACTACTTCTCCCTCCATTCGCAAGTACGAGTCGTTCGTAACTCGGATGTTCGTAACTCAGGGAGTGCCTGCAGCAAAATTGAGAGTACTTATTACTCTGACATTTTGGTGAAAATTGGGAGACTTTATCAGATTGGAGTTATAGGGGAATGTAGAACGAAGAGTGGCTTTGCACTGGCCGGCTGCACTTTGGTCAAAGCGGGTTAGCTGCGCTGTCCCATAGACTTCTATTATGTCCCGCGGTTTTGGTGCTCTTTCAGAAAGCACACCGGAACTTCTGCATGCAGATTCACTCATCCTATATGCAATCCTCCAGCAAAGTTTTCAATCTTCCAGCCAACGAAGGGCAATTTATTCATGTTTGTTTTTGCTGTGCGTTTACGATCTAAACACTTATTAAAGTAATAATATTACTGGATATGTAGCACGTTTTTAGCAGTATTCATTTTCAAGGTTTTGGGGGTTTGCTGACACTATAATTGGTGGTAATGATGGTGCGCTCCATCATAATTATGTGTTTTACTGCTCTTTGTGTGTATTATGTGCAGATTTTCAGAGTACAATAATTAAACAAAGTGCTATCATCTCTATCATCTAGATCTGTAGTGATCACTTGTAACTGTAATTAGCAGAACCCCTAATTAAATGAGATGTTAAATTGTTCTAATTATGCAGATGTCTTATTAAAGAGCCTTGGATGTGTGCCGTGTTCTTTGGGAATATGTACTCCACAATAAAGATCCATCCACCCAAAAATATTTGTCCTAGTTCAGTGGTCTCAACTGCGGCCCATAGGCCAGATGCAGCCTTTTGCTTGCCTTTATCTAGCCCTTGGGAGGGGGGGGGGATTGGGGAACCTTTTTTTCTCCGACACCAATGATAAGGCAGTATTCCTCCCACGGGCAGCAACGGTGGGCCGCCACTGCTCCGGCTGGCAGCAACGGTGGGCCGCCACTGCTCCGGCTGGCAGCAACGGTGGGCCGCCACTGCTCCGGCTGGCAGCAACGGTGGGCCGCCACTGCTCCGGCTGGCAGCAACGGTGGGCCGCCACTGCTCCGGCTGGCAGCAACGGTGGGCCGCCACTGCTCCGGCTGGCAGCAACGGTGGGCCGCCACTGCTCCGGCTGGCAGCAACGGTGGGCCACTATTCCGCCCATTGACATTATTTTCTACTTCCACTGGCCACAGTCTGGCCCCCCTTAATTTGAAGAGGCAGTAAACTTGCCCTTTGTTTCAAAGGTTTGGACACCCCTGTTCTAGATGGTGATACAGTCATCCTTGCTTCTTATGCAACTTGGGGAACACACTAGTGTATCTGCCTGTCATAGGTAGTTTCTGGCTAAACTGGAATATCATTCTTGCAGCTGAAAAAAGTTATTGGGTGGTCCCATTCCTTATCTTGCTTTCTCACTGTAGTTTTGTGCAATACTATGCAAAATAAAATGTTTTACCTTAACCGTGCCATATAGTACAAGCAAAGCAAAATGTATTTCTGAGCATACTTACCAGCTAGCCAGCAAAAAAAAAAAAAAAAAGCAGTTTGGCGTAAAAACATGTTTTAGCTGCATGTTTGCAAATATATGTTGAAGTCACACTGCCTCGTCAAGGTTCCTGTGTGTAGTGGGGTCCTAACTCTTGTGTAAGGGAGTCTCCATGTATAGCGATGGATCAGCTAAGGGCAGGTATTCCTGGAGGGAGCCATTCGGCTTTTGCTGGGTTTCTGGTGTGTCCCCACCCTATTAGGGAGGATTGGGCTGCCTCCAAGTATACCTGCCCCCTAATACTGCCACATGCTCCAACATAGAGACTCTCATAGACTAGAGTTATTGTGGTTGTTTCATATCATCGAAAACTGCAGAAATCCTGTGAAGTCTGAGACTTGCAGTGAGATAAGAGACTGGAGGAAAAGAAGGTATTGCCATTCGTTCTACTCCTGTATGCATATATAAATACAAACTGTAGATGGGGAATACTGAGGGTATGTACAGCAATAAAAACTCAAAATACACAAACATTCCGCTTTTACAAAAAGCACACAATGCTGTCCCATATGGGTATAGCGGCATAGTGTGCTAAACCTACCTACCAGGCAGTGCTCCCCTCCTGTCATTTAAGATGAGCTCAGCACTTAAAGGGAGAAAGTATACACTGCACATGTGCAGTGTGAAAAGACTGGACAGTGCTCCTCCCATTGCGCTGGGGGGTGCTGGTCCAAAGGCTGCTCCATCTCTGCAGTAACTCGGGACCGAGCCATCGCAGGCTGGAGGTGATTTAAAATGTTTTTGTTTTTTGCACTACATTCTTTAAACAGAGGGGGAGTCCTGGTTGCTGGGTAGGTTTAGCACACTATTTTGCTCTACCAAATATGGGAATTGCATTTTGGTAAAGATGAACTTTTAAAGTTCTATTAACCAATTCAATACCGGGCAATTTTACACCTTCCTGCCCAGGCCATTTTTCACGTTTCAGCGCTCACACTTTGAATGACAATTGCGCGGTCATACAACATTGTACCCAAACTAAAATTGTATCTTTTTCTTCACACAACTAGAGCTTTCTTTTGGTGGTATTTAATCACCGCTGGGGTTTTTTTTTTTGCTAAATTAACAAAAAAAGACCAACAATTTTGAAAAAAAAAAACCACGTTTTTCTTTGTTTCTGTTATAAAAGTTTACAAATAAATAATTGTTCTTCATAAATTTAGGCCAAGATGTATTCTGCTACATGTCTTTGGTGAAAATAACCCAAACTATGGTATATATCTGAATATTGATAAATCCTGAAGTACTGACAGCCAATCTAATTTCTTGAGGTCCAAGAATGTCAGAATAGTACAGATATCCCCAAATTACCCCTTTTTGCAGAGTAGACAGTCCGACGTACTTCATAAGAGGCATGGCGAGTTTTTTGAAGTTGTATTTTTTTTGTCATAATTTTTCGGAAAATGAAAAAATTAAAAAAAAAAATGTCACTTTTTTTTTTTTACATGCGGTCACCAGTGCAGTACAGCGTCATCATATAATTGACATGGGGGTGAACAGGGACACTGACTGGTGACAGTATGGGGAAAAAAAAAATATATATTTTTTTTATTTTTATTTTTTAATACTTTTTTTTTATTTTTTTTAAGATTTTTTTTTTTTTCATATTTTACTATGACCAAAGTAGTACAATGTTACCATAGTAACATTGTACTACTTTGGGGAAGTTCAGTATTTTTTTTTTTTTACACAATTTGCTTATAGCAAAGAATTACTTTGCTATAAGCAAGCATTTACCTGAATGAAATCGATTCATTCAGGGTTTTTTTTGTTTTTTTTTTGTGCTTAGCTGTGATTTGGTCACAGCTAATCACATGACATGTGCACTAGTATACAATGGATGGCATGAATGAAGCCATCCATTGTATACAACTGTCATGTGACCTGCTGTGATTGGTCACAGCAGGTCACATGGTACCAGCAACGGGGGCCGGTACTCAGATCTGTCATCGGCCGCGTCTGAGGTACACGGCCGGTGACAGGTTGCGCCGCTGCGCGGCTCTGCATTAGCGCAAACTGCGTATGTGCGGGAGCACGCCAAATGGCGTGCACCCGGAATGCCGAAGCCATTGGCCGGGCGGCTAATAGTTAAGGAGTCAATGAGCCAAGCTTTGGTCATGTAACTCATGCTGGATAAAGAATTGCAAGAATTCTAGGAAAAGTATTGGACATTGATCTCTTGTATAATTATCGCTTTCAGTGAAGGTAAATGATGGAAAAGTCGTGTATGTACAGTAGGTCCTCCTTTAAAACTTTTGAAATATTACAACACCTGGTTCTCTGGATCATCTGGTCATATGCAGTAAATGAGACCTTTTTTTTCCATGTAATGTAAGTTCAGTTGTACTCGCTGACTACATAAAAGCTAATTCCATCTCTGACTTTTCTCACTTCTTCTTCTTTTTTTTTTTTTTTTTCTCTTCCTTCAGGATGATGAAATTAACCAGCAGAGTCAGCTGGCTGAGAAGTTGAAGCAACAAATGCTTGACCAAGATGAGGTAAGTTACCCCAATTCTGTAATAAGAAGGTTGGGTGTATCTGACCTCAGCACCTCATCCCAGTAAAATGATCATGGATCAAAAAAAAAAAAATGAAATGAGGAACTTTAAAGGTGCTTGAGAACTATCCTCTGGAATAATTCACACAACTGCATAATAAAAATAGAAATATTTTTATTATACAGCATTGTTAAAAGTAGAACCCTGAAATTATAAAAATACTAGACCTGAGAACCGTATGCAAGATCAGGGCCCCAAAATATCATCTTCATAGTCAATCCAAATCCACTAAATAATTTGTGGCAGATAGCACAGCTATAACCATCATAGAAAAATTAACAAGTTGAGGTAAGGGTGGTGTTGGGTCGGACGCATTTTGCAGTTTGTTTCCTCATGGATTCAGAGGAGGATTGCTGATAAAGAAACAGCATAAATATACTAGATACAAATATGTGTGTACAGTTATAGGGTATACAGTGTAACATAATTCAAAAGAAACAAGTCTCGTATATTCATACACTGATCACTTATTTACTCCCCAAGAAGACCAAGCCCATTTCCAAAAAGTTAGGATGTTGTGTAGAATCTACAAAAAAAGCAATAATTTACAAATCTCATAAACCCATATTTTATTCCCAATAAAAAAAAAACAAAAAACGATCAAATGTTTAAACTGATACTTAGAAAAAACAGAAGGTATTTTTGAAATTGATGGCTGCAACAGGTCTCAAAAAAGTTAAAACCACTTACTCAGCCACCGTTTTGTTGCTCTGTTCTAACATGGAAGAGCTGGAAGTATATTTTACAACTAAACTTTCAAACCTTTTTGGAATTGGGGCTGTACACGCACACACACGCTCACACCTGCTCACACCCTGGTGATCCATTGAAAACTACAAGGTATCAGCCGCAAAGCCTGTTAGTATTTGTAGCTCATTCATTCATTTACAGAACTCTTTGAATAAACAACGCAGCCGTTTGAGCGGAGCCCCGCACAAAAATTGTGACAGTGGGTGCAGGGAGGAGATCCCTCGGCTCACTGTCACAAGGTGGGGGAAATCGGGGACAGGCTGCAGGACTGGGAACAGGTTGCATGTTTCACCCTAAAGAGGGGTGGAACATGTTTTCAAAGGTGAACTTGGCCTTTAAATCGTATGTATATCCAAAACTAGATTAAATCGATTTAAAACCCCTCTTAGAATGCCATGGTTGTGAGGGGGCATGTTTTATCTGGGTATAGGGCTAGCTTCTCCATGGATCATGGTAAGATTTGCAATGCTTCTGAGTATAGTTAACAATGGACTGTTTACATAGACAATGGAATTCCTGAAGTCCAGGTAGTAGGTTTTGGGAGTTGCCACTGTTGGCATGCTAGTATACACATAGACTGGAGTTTGTGGCCAGTAGAGGGTTGGGATCTGGATGTGTTTCCAGTAAACTAAGGGTGGACAAAGTAATATGGATTTCTGGAGCCAGCCCGTCTAGTGGAACAGCCAGCAGAATTTTTTTTTCTAGAAGCCAGTTCCATTGTCAACAATTAGAAGTCCTTTATCATTGCTATGTCCCTGAATGTCAAGTTTCTTCCTCCACCCTCAGCTCCTGGCATCAACTCGCCGAGATTATGAGAAAATCCAAGAGGAGCTGACTCGGCTACAGATTGAGAATGATGCTGCTAAGGATGAAGTGAAGGAGGTTCTTCAAGCCCTGGAGGAACTGGCTGTGAATTATGACCAGAAGTCTCAAGAAGTGGAGGACAAGACCAAAGCCAACGAGCAGCTGACCGATGAGCTGACTCAGAAAACAGTAAGACATCTTGAAAAAGCTTTTATTTTCTAGACTTTTTAATACTTGGTGTGTCCATGTGCTTTTCATGCCAGGTAGCTTGTTATTGTGGAGCCTCAAAGTTATTTGGTGAAATGTTCTTTCCCTAATTATGGAGGTTGTTAGAACTTCCAGTGTGCAAAACTGGGGAGCTCTAAAAGTAAAGAATTAGAGTGTTGTAATGGGGTATCTGTAGAAGTATCTTATCTCCTAAAATAGTTGTTAATCTGTCTTTGTGCAGAGCTCCTCTTTAACCACTTTGGTACAGGGCCAATTCTGACACTTCTCACATACAGGTGTACCTCGGTTTAAGAATTTAATGCATTCTCCGGGATGTTTCGTATTTTGAAACATTCTTAAACCCGAAATGCGGTTTCCCATAGGAATGCATTGAAAACCAATCCGATCGGGAGGTCAGAAAAAAGTTTTTAAATTTAAAAAAAAAAAAAAAAAAAAAAAGGTGCCATCACTATAGGTTAGTGCCGGTTTTTAAATAGAATTCCTCCTTTTTTTTTTTTTTTTCTACCTTCACTATAGCTCAGCGAATAAGCTGTCACTGTCCCCCCATCTAAAGAAAAAGTTTCCTTTTTAGTTTATTTCCCCGAGTTAAAAGACAAAATTTCCTTTAGCTCTGGGGAAAGTGACAGCGAATTCTGTGAGATATAGTGAAGAAAAAAATAAATCTGGCAATTGCATTTAAAAATCGGCACCAACATACATTTTGTATTACGAAATAAATTTGTAAACTGAGGCATTATTTTCAATGGATTTTCATTCATAAACCGGCAGTTACGTTAACCGAGGCATTTGTAAACTGAGTTACACGTGTACGTGTAAAAAAAAAAAAAAAATTTGGCAGAGGCCCTATAGAAAAAAGTGTTGGGTGTAATTTTTGTGACAGCGGTTTTTCAAATGCAATTTTTTGAGAAATACACTTTCATTCACTTTATTGCATACAAGCACAATATAATACCCCCTTCTGCCATCCGCAGAAGTGATCGTGTGGCTGTTCTGCCAAATTATTGCTTGTTTACAGGGAGTCGCTGGCTGCAATTATTTATACCAGGATAATGCTTGTAGCTTCAGGCATCATCCCAGTAGAACCACTTCACCCTAAGGACGTCCATGGACTTCCTACGGTCGGGAAGTGGTTAAAGCATATTTATAGCCAAATTACTTTTTTTTTTCAATACAAAAACCGCTGGGGAACATCACCCTACTTGTCCTGGTGACCATTGCCACTGACTAAGAAAATGATGGGAAATCCAACAATTTTGAGTCACCAGCACAACCGGTGAGAAATCTTCTGACAACTAAGAGGATTACCCTTTCACTTTCTTTTGCATCTCCACAATAGGAAGTGAAAGAATCTCGCAAGCAGGACACAAACAGCAAAAAATAGAATGACGGGGGGGGGGTTGACCCTTCCCTACTTTATCCTTCCCTACTTTATCCTTCCCTACTTTATCCTTCCCTACTTTATCCTTCCCTACTTTATCCTTCCCTACTTTATCCTTCCCTACTTTATCCTTCCCTACTTTATCCTTCCCTACTTTATCCTTCCCTACTTTATCCTTCCCTACTTTATCCTTCCCTACTTTTATCCTTCCCTACTTTTATTCCTTCCCTACTTTTATTCCTTCCCTACTTTTATTCCTTCCCTACTTTTATTCCTTCCCTACTTTTATTCCTTCCCTACTTTTATCCCTTCCCTACTTTTATCCCTTCCCTACTTTTATCCCTTCCCTACTTTTATCCCTTCCCTACTTTTATCCCTTCCCTACTTTTATCCCTTCCCTACTTTTATCCCTTCCCTACTTTTATCCCTTCCCTACTTTTATCCCTTCCCTACTTTTATCCCATCCCTACTTTTATCCTTCCCTACTTGTATATAATAGAAAATGAGATATAAATGTGTCTTTCCTGCTTCCTCCCTCCCCCTTTTGATCAACATGCTAATGAAATTTGAAATAAAATGACCCAGTGTTGAGAGGGGCCAGCAGGGTGCTGTAGATGGACTCCTAAATATGTCACAGTACACTACCCTAGTCTTCCTCTCAAGAGCCCTCAGCAATGATGCAAGCAGTGGGCTCTGCTTGGGCGGAATTTGCAAATATCAAAATGCCTTGATAGATTGATGTCAGTGTGAAGGAGTGGGCATTGGTATGCAGACTGCCTTGGGTATTGCCCTCATGTGATGAGCCTCTATGATTGAAAGAACTCAAACCCAATGAATGAAAGGGACAGGCCAGCGACAATCAGGCTGGAGATGAAAGAGAGCTTGATGATGCTGGACATCTTCCAGCCAGGCAATAAGGTGGGCTCTGTCTATCTTGCTGCAGCTTTTAATGCACATTGTGAGAAGAGTAAGCCGTTTTAGGGGGGTGTAGAGGCTTGTACAACTGTGTAAGATGGAATGTGAAGCTAGAGCCTCTTCCAAGCCTCTTGCCAGCCATGTAATACATATTAAATACCCAGCCACCGCACATATATGGGGTTCTGACGTTTTGTGCAGGGAGCTTGTTGCACTGCAGGCATTCTGGCATCGAGGTGTTCCGTGAATATACACGGAACTGCACATGAATAGCTGTGTGTATTCTAAAGAAGTGCCTGCCTGCTCAATGGTTTGTTTTTTTTTGTTTTTGTTTTTTTGGATTTTAAGTTCCAAAAATAAGAATATTTATTTTTGTGTTTGCCTGTTTGCATTGCAGTTTTAAAATCTGAAGTTTCAATTTTCTGGCCAGCATTAGACAGAGTAATATCATTGTCTTAAATGGGAACCTATCGGGGTACAAATATGGGTGTCATAATTCTTGGTGCAAATTCCAGAGCTGTCCTCCTTTTCGCTACTTAATGAGGTGCTAACCCAGAACCAGTAACTGCACGTACATGTGGGCTGATCAAAAAAAAAAAAAACTTGAGGGACTCACCAGAACGCACCAGTTGCCAATCGATAGATGTTTTTCTAGCATGCCCCGTCGGCAGAAGCCAGACAGCTGACATTCGGACTGTTTGTACCAGGGTTTAGGCAGGCCATACATTTATACATTTTTTTTTTTTTTTTTCAGACAAAAGATGGGTTTTATTCCCTCCTTACATTCCAGGAGGATAGGGGAATCTCATCCACTGTGCTATTGTGTTCTCATGGCAAGTAGCCTTCCCCGTTGCCAGAACACCTAGTGTTGCCAGCTATAGCTGGTGGAACTGATCATTCAGAAATAACCTGGCCGGATGGTTGTACAGAAGTTGATCAATAGATCAACTTCTGTACAGCCGGGGTGCCCATACCAGACAAATTTTAATCTGTGTATGGCTGGATTAAGTACATCCATTGTCCTGGCACTTGTGTGTTTCACAGCAGTGGCTCGGCAACTGGTGAAATAGGTGGATGAACATGACAGCCCCAGGGGACTTGCTAAAAATCAAACTGAAACCGACAAACACTGCAAATATGACCATGATGTCACAGGGCTAAAAGTAACAATCTGATCCAGTGTACCAGCACTGTTCAATGGCACTGAAAAGTTACACCTGTCGCTGCATCTAGTATAGGGATGCAGGTCACACCACCAGCCATTTTCAACATTTTTTCATATCTGTGCTATCTGTGTCATTTCATTTTCCTGATTGAATAAAAATTTGTCAGTTGGGAACTGCTGACGCAAGCCTAAAGGTTTATTAAAGGGTCAGCAATGTGACTTGTATGAAAGAGAATGGTCTCCCGATGATAAATTGGGTTTTTCTTATCTGCTTTGCAGCCTCTATTAAGATGTTTTTCCATTTATAACAAGCCTTCTGTTATCTGGATGTATTACAGCTCTGCTCAGAACATTATGTGATATGTTCAAGAGATGCGTTGGTATAATAAACCATTTAATCTTCCTTTATGATGTGCTTTAGTTGTGCGTGTTTTATCCTTGTCCTTACTCTGAGAAGTCATAAGAGTCTCTGGTAGCTGAGGAGCTGTAGATTACTTCAAGGACAGGGCTAGTTGAAGGGAAGGGTTTTTTTATTCATAGGATGGTGTATGGAGACATTGGAATTTTGTCTTGCGTGTCTGACTGCTGTGGGGTTTTTTCTCTACATGGTTTGTTGGTCTACAAACTACTTGCAGCTCTGCTCAAGGTCTACTCACAGATATACTTAAAGCTAAGGAACCTTGGAGATTGGCCTGGAATATTGGACATAGCCACTTGACTTTCTCCCAGAGCACAATTGTTTGGTGGTTTTCCAAGCTAATCTAAAGGCGACCAGCAGTTAATGAACTGAAGTGATATTTAAATTCCAGATGGGGATTGGTGGGCCCCAGGCTTCTGGATGTATTGCAGCTCCGCTCAGAACATTGTCATGTGATATGTTCAAGAGATGTGTTGGTATATTAAACCGTTTAATCTTCCTTTATGATGTGCTTTAGTTATGCGTGTTTTATCCTTGTCCTTATTCTGGGAAGTCATAAGAGTCTTTGGTAGCTGGGGAGCTGTAGATTACCTCAAGGACGGGGCTACGTAAGGGGAAGGGTTTTCTATTCATAGGATGGTGTACTGAGACATTGGAATTTTGTCTTGAATGTCTGACTGCTTTTGGGTGTTTTTCTGTATATATTGTCGGTCTACAACCTATACTTGCAGGTCTACTCACAAGCTTACTTAAAGCTAAAGAACATTGGAGATTGGTCTGAAATACCACCAATCTCCAATGGTTGGTTTGGAAGACCACCATTGTTTGGTGGTATTTTGAACTAATCTAAAGGTGACTAGTGGATAACAAACTGAAGTGATATTTAATTCTAGATGGGGAATGGTGGGCTCCAGGCTTTGTATACATCTTGGATACTATAAGAGTAGGATCTCCCTCTGATCCACAGCTCAGCTCAAGACAAGTTTCTCCTGCACATGGACGACCTGGGTGCCAGCCATCAGTTTGCCTCCTTGAAAATATGAAAAAAATCTGCTGCCCTCCAATTAGCTCTTCCTGCTCTATTTTTTATCAGTGAGTTGGCTGCAGACAGTGATGTCTCCAACAAGAAGAAAACAACCTTCCTTGACGCGCTTCGCCATTCTTGATTTCCCCTTTCCTTGTGAGCAAGACAGGAGTGGCGAAACACATCAAGGAAGGTTGGTTTTGGTTTGGAGACCTCACTGTATGTAGTCAACTCACTGATTATTAGAAATACTGCAAGAAGAGCTAATTGGAGTGTGACTCATTTTTTTTTTTTTTGCCTAATTTCAAGTAAGAACTCCCTGCAATAATGCCTGACCCTACAGCTGACAACCTGTTTTACAAATTAGCTTGGCCTACAAAAATGTACATGAAATAATCATCATAAATGAGTTCAGGCACGGTTTTCCTATGTTTTACATGCATTAGAACTCACATCAATTGCAGGTCATCAAATTCCCATTGACTTCGGTAGAGTTGTAGATGGCAGTTCAGAAGCTGCTTTGCATATTGTGTTGCTTTGGCCACAGTAGGTCCTGTTCCGATATGCTTGAGTTTTAGGTGAAGCGCTTCCTTGTGTTGTCTCAGCATCAAGTTCAATAGAAAAGGGATTTTTTTTTTCATCTACAGAAGCCCTTATATTATTTGGGTCGTGTTGCTAAACTTAAAAAAAAGCATGTTTTTTGACATTATTTGTATTGAAACGTAAAACTTTTTTTCAGTTCTGGGAGTTTTGTTTCTCAAAGAATGGTGGAGGCGAGACTAACTGGATCTTTTAGCATTATTGGAGTCCTGGTTGAGTGGATTGTTTGTATATATTCACAGATTTCTAATGTACAGGAATATTAACTGGGGTTTGTAGTAATGTACTAGAAAGAAAAGGAAGAAGACATTGGTATAAATGTATTGATCCAGATTTGTTGGTCTTATTTGTTGAATGCATTAAAATAGTTTCCGTGTTTCAGAGGTCTAAACTATTGTAGTTGTAATGTTTGCAGAAAAAAATGCGAATGCAGAAACCATCTGTTTACAGTGCCCATCTGCTTACTGGCCTTAGTCCTTTTTCTACAGTCCCAAGCCTTACTTATCTCAAACCTAGGAGCCTAAAACCTAACCAGCCTGGATAACCGTCTCTGGCTACCAAAAGGATTGTGGTTTTTTGATGCCATCAGAGATTGCAGAATCTATTGTATTCAGTCAGACAGGCCTTCCTAGTGAATACATAGTGAGATGAGAAAATCAAAGTCTGCATATGTAATAAAATGATATTGCTGCTCCTATATATTTACTAACTACATATTGGGCTGTATCTTTCACCTGTAGATTGACTTAAAGGTAAACAAACTGTAGGTCCTTTCTTAATAACCCTCTAAGGCTAGGTTTACATATGTGCGGGTGGTGCCGTTGCGGATCCGCACCAAAATCCGTGCAGCCGGACCACCCACACAGAAGAATGCGGACCCGCGGGTGGGTGCCATTTAATTTTAATGGCATGCTGCCCGCACTGGAAATCGCAACCGCACTGGGAATCGAGGTTCCCGCGCGGGCTGTGGTTTCCAAAGAAGTGCAGGGACTTCTTCCCTGCGTGTCCCGGGGGACGGGATTGCATCCAAACGAATGGGCTCTCTTGCCCGCGCAAAATGTTGCCCGCAGGAACGCGGATATGTGCACCAGGGGTAAGACTTCACATACAAGTACCTGTTTAACACGTGACTATCCGCATCACAATACACCTCTCAACTTGAATCTAATTTTTACAGACCAGCTTGATTGCAACACAACGGGAACTTCATCAACTGCAGGAACACAGCAGCCACCAGAAGAAGAGAGCCACAGAGATTCTCAACCTGTTGCTGAAGGACCTGGGCGAGATTGGAGGCATTATTGGCACAAATGATGTGAAAACAGTAAGATTTCGTAGTGTTTTTTTACAGCTATATGTGATGGTATGTTCCTGGGGCATAAGCTTGAAGGTACACTCCAGCCAAAGTTGAAAATTACCCACTTTAGAATATTAAACCTAGGAAATAACATCTTAAAAACTTAAACAAAACTCCTCCTGCTATTACAGCTGTCAAAATGACAGCTCTAGATTGCCATGTGTTAAATAGGAGTCATCATCAGGGGCTGTCAAAATGCAGCTACTCCTGTATAGAATACCACTTGTAGAAGCTCTGCAAGTGCTATTATATAATGATGTATTGTTACAATATGTATTGTTATAATGATGTATTTACTATTTCATGCATATGTAGATCAAAGGTGTGTGTTTTTGTTTTTTTGGGGTTTTTTTTTTTTCCATTTTTTTGTCTTCTGTAGAAGACTCTTGCTTGCACAGCCTGATCTGCATGAGTTTTTTTTTTATTTATTACAGGCACTTGTATAGCGCCTTCAATTTATGCAGCGCTTTATGTACATATGTTGTACATTCACATCAGTCCCTAACCCTCAAGGAGTGTACAATCTGAGGTCCATAACTCACATACACATACTAAGGCCAATTTAGCTAGTTAACCTACCAGTATGTCTTTGGCATGTGGGAGGAAACCCACACAGGCCACAGTGAGAACATGCAAACACCATGCAGGTAGGACTGTGGCTGGGATTCAAACAAATGACCCTAGTACTGCCAGGCAGAAGTGCTAACCACTTGACCACTGTGCTGCCCAGTTTATCCTTTTCTTGTTTTATCCCCCCTTGCAAGTCTATACTGTCTGTGCACTGACCACTCTCAGCCTCTCCACTCTTCCCTTTCCTGGCGTTTTTATGTATTCTTTGCATTGGCTGAAAAAAGATAATAAAATCTTGCACTAGAATAGTGTCTTAAAATGGGCATTTTAAGCAGGCCTTAATTGAAAGAAGCATTTGCGTTGCCTGCAGTAACCACATTTTAGGCTTAATGCACACTGGGGCTTTAGTCCCATTGCAGGAGATACCAGGGAACATGGTCCTAAACATTGGTACCACTTGGTGCACTGTCCAGCTGCAGCAGCTTTCAGCCTCTCATAGAGCAGGTTGCTGACAGCACAGCTGGATGGTGTACCTGTGCCTTCCACCCACACCTACAAGCCCGAGTCTCATGCTTCAATTTACCTTGTTAGGCCTCATGCACACTGGGCCTTTAGTCATGGTTCTTAGTGTATTGAGTATATATATGTGTGTATATATATGTGTGTGTATATATGTATGTATATATGTGTGTGTGTGTGTGTGTGTGTGTGTGTGTGTGTGTGTGTGTATATATCTATAAATGAAGATTTATATTTTTAAATTTGATATAATTTCTCTGTATGCATATGTGCAGCTGGCAGATGTGAATGGTGTGATCGAGGAGGAGTTCACAATGGCTCGTCTGTATATTAGTAAGATGAAATCCGAGGTCAAGTCTCTGGTCAATCGCAGCAAACAGCTGGAAACCGCACAGATCGAGGCAAACCGCAAGATTAACGCAACCGAGAAGGAGCTTGCCGCCTGCCAGCTGCTCAGCTCACAGGTCAGAAGCTATAGATGTGGAGGCAGTTGTCTAATCTTCTAGATTATGGTTATTTATTGCAGATAGTAGGAACCTTGCGCTTGTTCTATATACTGGAGACCGCCATAGCCGTTAAAAGCAAAGGTTGTACTATTATTTGTTGGGTGCAGGGCCCTGTAGATGGTTTTAAAAAGTTTTTTTTTTTTTTTTTCATTCTCTGCTTTGTCTAAAATAATGTGGGTATCTTTCATATATGGAAGATTTGATATGTATTTCTGTGTTGGTTTGGAGAGAACTTTGTAATTTAATAATTCTATTCATGTTGGGTGTATTAAACAATATAGGCCTGAAATTTAAATTGGAAGAGAAGCCCAAGTCTAACAGATCTTCAAAAAAAAATTCCCTTTCTCTATCTTTTCTGGCTAACATTTATAAAAACAGGTGTGTGTACCTGCCTATATTCTGCCCCGGTCCAGTCATGTGATCCTGTAGCTCCACCTTCCCTGTGTCAGTAAGTGACTACTGCAGGGAAGAGGCGGCAGCATTGACAACACTTGGGCATTGGAATACAATGGATGACTCCCAGAATTCCCTGCTGTTGAGTTCTCTTTAAGGGAGAGCTACAGGATCATGTGACTGAACAAGAGGGGTAAGTACACAGAACTGCTTTTTTTTTTTTTTTTTTTTTTTTTAAATGTTTAGCAGGATAGGTAGGAGATGATGGAGACCATTTTAAAAGATGGTTAAAGCTAAGCTTTTCTTCCACAGGAGCGGTAAGTACACAGAACTCAATTTTTTGGTGTTATACAGGTTTAGAAGGATAGGTAGGAGATGGGGGAGACAATTTAAAAGATGGTTAAACCTAAGCTTTTCTTCCACTGAGTTATACTTCGGCTGCACGCAGGGATCTCGAGTGTATTGCATGTACTTTTAAGCGTATAGTAATAGTCATTCATTGTAGTTTTTGGCTTATTTCAGCATGAAGCAAAGATCAAGTCATTGACTGACTACATGCAGAACATGGAACAGCGGCGCAGGCAGCTTGAAGAAACCCAGGATTCTCTGAATGAGGAGCTGGCAAAACTGCATGCTCAAGGTAACCGTTTGATTAGAAGGTTTTGGGGTTATGCTAGGGTCAATAATGTAGTTCAGGGGGTCTCTAAAGTGCCGCCCACAGGTCACATCCAGCTTGCCATGACTTTTTTTTTTTTTTCCCCAGCCTGCAACTTATTGGGGGGGGGGGGGGGTGAAGGGGTGGAGTGGGTTGGGGTACACGCCTTGAAATTATGTGGTTTGAGAGCAGGAGAGAGATATGTAGAGATGGAGAGATAGAGAAGATGTATATTGCCATTGATAGCTGTGCTAGAACCTCTTTGGTGGTTTTTTGTAGACCCTTGGTGTAGTAGATGATCTGGGATCAGGTCAACTAATGCTCCTCCCTTCAGGTATTGGTGGATGTAGAGAGTAAAAATGAAGTTGACTAATAATTCATTTCCCATGGATCACTAAAACTCTGCAGTCTTCCAATGGATACCGACATAGGTGGAAGTTACTGAGGAGGGTTAACAGTTTTGCCATCTCCTGCAGGTTGCTTAATGAGATAAGATTTTACCAACTCAAACCAGAAAAAAGTTTTCATACTGTAATGAGTCAAATTTACTTCTTCACAGAGAGAATGCATGAAGTCTCCTTTAAGGACAAAGAGAAGGAACATTTAACTAGACTACAGGATGCAGAGGAAATGAAGGTAAATCTTGAATATCTCATTCTGGGCAGTCGAAGCTGGTCACAAGTTATATACAGACGAGACAACGCTCTTCTAGAGTCCTCCAGTTCTCAGTAATCTGTGGGTACAAACAAAACTGTCAAATCGGTCAAACTTCTGGATTTGTTACATTCAAGGTTACACATGTACTGATGATGACCTCCATCATGTTTGGATGTTCTTCCAAGGCCATGTGACAGAGCCCACCACTAATTTGTCATCTGTAATGGACCAGTTATCTGCAGTGGGGACATTCCCTGCCATGCAGCCGAACATATACGATGGGCATACATATGTGCGACTTTGGGGTGGGAAATGCCTCGGATGCATAGGCTTGACCCATTACACATGGTGGACTCTTTGTGGGCTTGGCCTTGGCCATGGCCACTTGGGTTTGGAAGAGAATTTTGAACATGACCAAACACATCTCTAGTACTGATATCATTCAGTGGATCCATGAATACAACTAATGTGACTGAATCAAATAAACATCGCATACCAGAGACCCACCATTCAAGCTATTGTTTAAATTTGATTCTGCAGCATCAGTTGGAAGAATTTGGATGAAGAATTGACAGATTAAACGATATGTTTCAAATGATCATTTTTATCATTATAACTGATCATATTTTTTGATCAATATTTTCAACCGATCACAAAGTGTGGAACAATACCATTTTGTGTTGCATCTTTCAAAAATTTTAATCCATGATGAATCATTTGATGGCAATTTGTATGTAATCTAAAATAATGTCTTTTTTCAAATAATCCCTCTACCACACTCCCATCATCTACCCTCATACGTGAAATAATACAAAATCGTGTATATATAAATGTCCAAATATAAGTCCATACAAAGTACTCTTCCAAATATTGAAAACTGATCCACTTCGTTGCTTTTCAATCCAGGATACCTCAAAAAAATATATAAACTAGATATAGTGCATTATCTTTAAACAAAGAAAACACTCGTGACACTTAGGGCTTAGGAGAAGTCACTTTAAAAGTCACGAGTGTTTTCTTTGTTTAAAGATAATGCACTATATCTAGTTTATATATTTTTTTGAGGTATCCTGGATTGAAAAGCAACGAAGTGGATCAGTTTTCAACGTTTGGAAGAGTACTTTGTATGGACTTGTATTTGGACATTTATATATACACGATTTTGGACATTTATATATACACGATTTTGTATTATTTCATGTATCAGGGTAGATGATGGGAGTGTGGTAGAGGGATTATTTGAAAAAAGACATTTTATTTTATTCACACTTTCTAGGGTGAGAGTGGTACTTTTTGTAGGGATTAATAGAGTTTATTTACATTTGTATGTAATCTAGGTGAAGCATTTTCAGTGTGTATGACCTCTATAAGGGTATGAATTAGCTGCAGATTAGGTACAGGTGAATTACAAACCAGACGTTCCATTCACTTGTGGACCTCTGATCCATCAGGTTTGTCTTTCTCTGTTGAAGAATATACATAATAAAGCCTTTCTAGAACACATCTCATTCCATCACATATCCCAAAAAGGATTATTCCTCATTTTAGGACAGTGGACGGTGCCATTCTCATCATTCTTTTATGCACCATTAAGATGCACATCCAAAATAGCTGGTGTATAATGAAAAAAGATTAGTATTATAGAGCCAAATATTCCAAACTGCATACAGCAGTTTCAGGCTTCTTCACCTTTATCAGTGTAGTGTGTGTGGAAACCATGGCTTCTTTGGCGTAGGACAATGGTCTCCAAACTGGGGGCCGAATGTGGCACTTTTTTCTTGCCCTTATCTGTTCCTTGGGGCACTATGGGTCAATAATTCCTGCAATGACACCAACAATGGGGTACTATTCCTCCCACTGACACCAAGGATGGAGCACTATTATCACTGACACGAAGGATGGGGCGCTAATAATTCCCCTAATACCAAAGATGGGACATTGTGTACACCCACTGATGCTAGCGCATTTTTTTGGACAGAAGGGTTATACGGGACCTAAGGAATTAAAAAGCCTTTGTGCTGCTATGCACGGATTCATTTGGAGAGCTTTTTGATTCCTTTAGTCCCTTCTCACCACAACATGCATGGTTGCACCATCTGTTGAAGGAATGCTTTAATGTGATTGGTTGGTGTCTAACAAATTACATTTATGTAAGAGCTGAAATGTGGCTGCTTTGGTCCCAGAAAAGTGAATAAACCAGTTGTATGCCTCTGTCCCCCTCAGCCATTAGTCTATAACTATTTTAATTTTGGATGAAGGATGCTTACATCATTTTAACTCCTAGTGCAGAAAAGGAGAGAATTTTTTTTTTTTTCTTTAAAGTGACCCTGTCCCAACAGAAAATTTTACTTGTAAAAGAAGAGGGAACATACTTGTCTTACCTGCTCCACTGAGAAATGATCCTCCGCATCTCTCATTGGTTTCCCATTGGAATTTGGAGGATGCAGAAGATGGATACTCCCAGGAATGTCTGTGTTTTGGTAGATTGCAGGGGACCATTTCTCAGTTATGGCGTGGCTTTCAGCAACACGGGTGGCAGAAAAGGTACATATGTTTGCTCTTTTTTTTTTTTTTTCTTTAATTAAACCTTTTTTTACTATAGTGACAGGGTCACTTTAATGACTACAAGCAGTTTATCTTGTTGGCACCCTGATCACTAGGACATTGATTTAACCTTTGTTTTGCAAGTGATGTGGAAAGTATACTAACTATTAGAAACCAGTCATAATTGGCTGGCAATCTAAATCCAGTATAATGTTTGCACTTATCAATCATTGCACTGCCTTATTAAGTAATAGATTTTATTATGTAACAGAAAGCTTTGGAACAGCAGATGGAGGGTCACCGAGAAGCTCACCAGAAGCAGCTGTCCCGCCTAAGAGATGAGATTGAAGAGAAGCAGAAAGAGATCGATGAGCTCAAAGAGTAAGCCTCAAAATTCATTTTCAGCTTCACTCCATTGGTTTTATTTGCTAACAAAGACGCTGTTCACTTTGCAATGGAATTTTCCCAGAGTTTAGCAAATGTAGTGAAATTTCACTTGGCAAAGCATACCCAATCACATGCAAGGAATACAAAAAACAGCATTTTTGCTTACATGTGATTGATGGGAGTCAACAGAACTTCACCTTAATCACTAAGCTTTTGGAAACATTTCCTTGCAAAATGCTACTTCCCATGCAAAGTATTTGCTTTTTAATAAATGAAACCCCCGTACATGCGTGCCTCGGTTTACGAATGCCTCGGTTTACGAATGCCTCGGTTAATGTAATTTTCAGTTTACAAAAGAAAATCCATTGAAAATAATGCCTCAGTTGACCAATTTTTTTTTTTTTTCTTTTACGAACAGATTAATTGGTTTTCAAATGCATTTACGAATTTTTTTTAATCATGTACAGAATTTATGCCTTTTAAACTGCACTTTATAAAGAGTTTTGAACAGAAGACTCTGGTTTTTTTTTTTGGTTTTTTTTTCTGACTTCCGTAATGGATTAATTGGTTTTCAATGTATTTACAAATTCATGTTTAATCCTCTCCCTGTACAGTGTTCATGCCTTTTAAAGTGCACTTTATAAAGACTTAGAAACAGGTAAGACTTTGTTACTTTTATCTGGCCTCCGGAACAAATTAATTTGGTTTTCAATGCATTCCTATGGGAAACCGTGTATCGGTTTACAAATTTTTCACAATACGAAAAGTCCCGCAGAACGCATTAAATTCGTAAACCGAGGTATGCTTGTACTTCTATTTTTTATTCAATTTTACCACGTACTTCATAGTATTGCCATAGTCCATTGTTTTGTAAATAATATCATCGAAGTCAGGGTTCTGTGGAATCAGTGTTCCTTCAGAGGTTCTTTGACCAACTATAATGTAACCAACAATGTTAAGGAAATTCTTCCACTACTAATCAAGGTATAATCACTTCCAGAAATGTAAAGGAGGCTCTTTGCTGACTTAACAGTGTAGGGGACATATTTTTACTGGTCACCAATGTTACACAGTTTACTGTGAATTGTGATGACAATCCTTTTTATCAAGGGTTCCTTGTCACCTAAAAATTACTTCAGGGATTCCTCTGGGGTGAAAGGTTTGAGAGGTTGATCTAGGTCATTGGGTAATTTTAGTGGTTTAGCTAACCTTCAGATGAGGGGGGGCAATAAATTATCTTTCTAAAGAATTGGGAAATCTGGCAAACATGCACATTTTTTCTCTTCTAAACTAGACGCCTGCTTTGCAAATCAATTTTAAGATAAAGAGTTACCTCCTCCATTAGTTACAGCTGTGCCATACTGAGGAGGCGGGACTACTTGTGTAATTTTTTTCCTTTTTTTTTTTTTTTTTTTTTTTTCCTTTTTTCTAGTTCCTTCTAGGGCCTTTTGTTAAGTATGCTTTTTTGTTAATGTGCACATTTTGGACAATGTTTTTACATATTCTTAACAAATATTAAAATAAGATTTAAAGCAAGCTATAACTGACCTCTGTAGCTGCGTGTACTGTAAAGGAGTTATTCTCAAAGATCATGCTAAAGACTCTGAAGTTGGGTTTCAGTCAATCTGTAACCGCTTAGGGCACCTGCTGATGGTTCATATAAGATGGTTGACTGGTTGCAAAGTCTCTGCTGTCATAAAAAACAAGGGGAGAGGAACTGTGATTTCAGTGCCTTTTTTGTGTGAGTTTTCCACAATGCCTATAGATACAGGGGTAAGTAAGGGCTTATTTTCAAATGCATTTTGCTGCATCTTTAGCATATGTAGCATGCTAAGGTGTAAGGTTTGTTTACAGGTTCACTTTAGGATTTCGATTGAGAAATGCTCTTTTAATTGAAATCAAACTGATTTTATGCTGTGGCTAATCCATAAGTTACCTGCTTGATGACACTTGTCATTGCTCATGTAGATATTCTTCATAAATTTGACATTTTAGGTCCCTTTTACTGTAGGAATGTTAGCTTCCACCAAAGAAGCTTTAAAGTGGCAGATAACTGGATCAAAAAAATTACTGTTCTGTTCAAACATAGACTAAGTTCCTTTTATACTTTATAAAATTAAAGAAAAGTGCAGCGCTAAAGATAAGCTGTTGAAGTAAATCACTGTATACAAATAAATATATAGAAAATATTGTCCATATACATGAATTAATGAATAAATAGTATGCCCATATAAGGTGACATAGTGCAAATCACGTGTGAATATATATCCACAATATAGTGCTACTAACGTAAAAATAGTGAGCACTATTTAGTGCCAAAAACACCACTTCAAACTATAATATATACAAGTCCACAGGATATTCGTAGTGAAGATCCGACCAAATTGGTCTCAAGTAGGTGCTCCGTATGCTTCTAACAGGTGATGTGCCAGGAATATATGTTTAGATTACGCACTCACCAGATGCGCAATCATAATACGCATTTGTGTATATGGTTGTCAGCCGTAGGTCCCCTTTAAGGATATCAGCAGCCTGGTCTGGTCCGAGAGATCCATTTCCCCTGTGTTATCTGCCGCACCACTGCCGTCCTCCAGAATGGGCTCTGTGGTTGTATTGGCTCATAAAGAGCCAGGAAGAAGGATGCCCATAGTATAGTATTTAAGCAAGCTCCTTTATTAGAAATATGCAGCCAACACAGTAAAAAAAAAAATCCACTGACCATATGAGTGCACAAGATGGCCGCCGGACCGCCTCGTGGTCTCGGTGGCGTGACGTCACCGCGTACAGCTCCTTGACGCGTTTCGTGCAATTGCACGTATTCATAAGGGGTGTGCTCGTATGCAGGGGACGTCAATGTAATCCATTTATAGCAAATGCGACGTGTGCGCATATCTTGCCCGCCATCTTGCCGAAGTCCAAGATGTCAGCACGCATGCGCGAGCGCCATCTTCCCTTCGGTTTTATCCATATATTTCCAGCAAGGTTCCTTTTTATAATTTGGCATCTTCAGAAAGAACTCGCCAATCCAAACCATTAAAAAAAAAAAAAAAAAATTGGTATCAAGAAGGGCCAGTCTTAGCAAAAATGCCATTTTAGTTATATGTGGAAGCTAGTGGGCTGGCTCAGCCTGTTTATTTGTCTTCAGCAGTGAGATCTGCATGCCATAATCCCTGACCGTATCTGTTGAGCAGGGAGTTTGGGGTTTTCCCATCCACTTAGGTCCCTTGCAAACGGGCATCATAATTTACTGATGTTTACTAAGGAGATTGTGACGCCAGTGTGCAAGGGGCCAAAAAACTGTAAAGACCTGAATAATGCTGAGTATAGGCGCGTATAGATAAGTAAATGTGTGTAAGCACATAAACGAGTGGAATTCTTCTTCGTTGCCAGTATTGTAATCTTCCCATTTATACTTAGGACTCCTGTGTGCAAGGGGCCAAAACGAGCAAACACTGCACTCAAATGAGAGGCCAAAACGAGCAAACACTGCACTCAAATGAGAGGCCAAAACGAGCAAACACTGCACTCAAATGAGAGGCCAAAACGAGCAAACACTGCACTCAAATGAGAGGCCAAAACGAGCAAACACTGCACTCAAATGAGAGGCCAAAACGAGCAAACACTGCACTCAAATGAGAGGCCAAAACGAGCAAACACTGCACTCAAATGAGAGGCCAAAACGAGCAAACACTACACTCAAATGAGAGGCCAAAAGGAGCAAACACTGCACTCAAATGAGAGGCCAAAACGAGCAAACACTGCACTCAAATGAGAGGCCAAAACGAGCAAACACTGCACTCAAATGAGAGGCCAAAAGGAGCAAACACTGCACTCAAATGAGAACATTTTGTTTTACTACTATGTACTCAACGTTGTATTAATGATCTTTACTCAGCTGTGTGCAATGTCCCCTAGACAACAATGCATCTCATTTCAGATATGTAAAGAACTTGGCATTTTTTTACTCCCCTGTGCAACAGACCTAACATGTTTCGCCCTAGCCTCTGTGACCAAGCCCCGATGGGCAGGGCGAAATGTTTCAGGTGTGGCTGGAGCGGCGGCTGAAGCCATCTACAACACGCTACCATTGTCTGACTGGTTTTGAGCGGCGTCCATGCCTCCATAAACCGCATCAGTTAGTTTCTGGAATAATTTGGGACGCTGCTCCCCTCATCTATCTCTGCCATCAGGGTGACCTTTACCTGTATCTAGCCTTGAGGGGCACCACAAGTCTCCTATATGGTTTAACAGGCTTAACATGTTCCAGCTCTTCCCATCACATTCTCTGTATTCTAAGATATGTAAAATATTCAACAGGGAGCGTTGGGACCCCTCATTAAAGACATAATAGGTGTGCAGATCTGGGAACTTGGGGCAGAGCTCTCACCCAACTGAGATAAAAGAAACGGTCAATTGATTTTTCTCTCCAGTATCTACAAACCACTAAACTATTACATTTTGTTGGACTGACCCTTTAATAAATACCAGTGGCAAGTGAAAGCATTCTAGTTGGACAGACTGTCAGCTGTAGATTGAAAGATGTTCCTCTAGTATTTTATCAGTATGAGATGTACCTAAATGAAGGCAAGATTTGGAGTTCATGTAGCAAGATCCAGTGCATATATGACCTTGTAATGTGTTTATTGTCCGCTTATGAAGTGTTTTATTTCCATGCAGCCTCAATCAGAAGCTTCAGCTACAGAAGGACAAACTGACCTCAGATTATGAGAAACTGAAGGCTGAAGATGAGCAGAGACAGATGGAGCTGGAGAAACTTGTGTAGGTTGCCTTGTGTGAGATTTGATGATCGTTTATCTCCTGTAATTCTTTTAAAACATGCCGAACAAAACCGAACCCTTCTGGTAAAGCCTAGATAAGAACACAAATTTGACCATAAACCTTTTATAACAAGAATGTCAAAATGTAGAAAGCCTAGATCATGCTTGCTAAACTCTTGTCCTCAAAGTTCTAGAAGAATAAAATTGATCATTTTGTATGCTGGAATTGAGGCTGTAAAGCCGCTCTGTTGCAAAAATGAAAAATTAAAGTACCTGTTTATCTATAGCTGTCTGCCCCATACATCCATTCAAAGTGCAGAACTTACACATTATCTCTCAGCTCTGAAAACCAGGGCAAGGGTAACAGAAATGACATCAGTGAGGAGAGCTGATTGGTGGAAAGGGACACACCTACCCCAGCCACACAGCTGTGCCCTCCCTGTCACCATTATTCCCCTTGTGTCAGGAAAACTTGTCAGAAGTGACTCATGCTGATAGCAGAGAAACTGATGCAGCAAACAGAATTGACACTCTGGATTGAGACAAATACACACGATAGGGGGGTATGCTTTGTTCATATCTGAGGTTTACAAGCACTTAAAACTATTTTATAAACAGAGACTTTATATTAGCCTGTCCAGATGCCCATCTGCTGACAGCAGAATTTTCACTTTCACTGCTGCATTCTGTGGTGTCCACAGTTGGCCCATAAACAGAATTTTTTAAGCAGAACTTCTGACAGTGTAGGATAAATGTGTTCCTTTTTGGTTTTTAGGATTCTTAATGAGAAGAGGGAGCAATCTCGAGAAGATCTTAAAGGTTTGGAGGAAACTGTGGTATGTAAACTATATACTACTACTATACACTATAAGTGTGTGTGTGTATAATATATATATATATATGTGTGTGTATGTATGTATAGTGTGTGTGTGTGTGTGTGTATAATATATATATATATGTGTATGTATGTATATGTGTGTATGTATGTATAATATATATGTGTGTGTGTGTATGCGTGTATGTATGTATAATATATGTATGTGTGTGTGTGTGTGTGTGTATATGTGTATATATATATATATTTGTGTGTGTGTGTGTATATATATTTATTTTTTTTTATTATTTATTAAAAACCTCTATAAAAATGTGTGCTTTCTGCAGGCCAGAGAACTCCAGACTTTACACAACCTGCGCAGGCTTTTTGTTCAGGATCTCACCACTAGAGTGAAGAAGGTATGAATCAGATGCTTCTGGATGTAAGTAGTTGGAGAATGATAAAACTTCGGGGAGAGGCACGTACACATCCATTTACATGTGTTGCAAAATGTTCATAATGCTTCTAATCCTTACATTCTCATATGTCATAAAGATAACAAATTGTCAACTTACTAACGTTAGATCAGATTTCAGCCTGTGCTCTCTGCGCTCAATAAAATGTTCCAGCAGTAAATATAAAGTTATCAACTAAGAGGAGGTAAACTGAGGCTTGTGTTATCTTTTAGAGCATCTCATGAGCCTTGATGTCCTGGGTGAGCTATGCAAACTGTAGCATAAGATTTAAAATCAGAACTCTAGCCAGCCATTTATTTCCTCCTCAGCCTAATAATTGGCCCATGATTATGGTCGATAGCCTCATTACTAATAGATGCAGAGCAAGGGGGTGCGGGCCACAGCAGCCTTAGGTTTTGGGGTTTCCCGAGGCCTTCTTGAAGGCATCTCGAGGTTCATGCAGTCACTTCTGGGGTTTGTAACTTTTATCTTTCGTACATGTCACCAGTATGGTTTAACTGCTTCATATCCGCCTGTGGATGGGAAGCAGTGCCAGTGCAGGCTAATGTACCTGTACATCTTTCCACATCGGAGGCTTCAGCGCGGCTCAGAGTGCGCACGCCCGAGGCGCCACCCATGGTGAAAGAAAAGAAAATTGTAGAATATATGGCTTGCTTTACGAAGTCTGTAGTTCACAATCGAAAGTTTGTTCCTTTTTTAAAACTGCTGTTCTCCTTTCCATCCTCTTGTTTTCAGAGCGTGGAGCTGGACAGTGATGATGGAGGTGGCAGTGCAGCTCAGAAACAGAAGATTTCCTTCTTGGAGAACAACCTTGAGCAGCTGACAAAAGTTCACAAACAGGTGAGACACAGGCTTTGCAGATTACTTGTACGCACGTACTTGGTTAGACCATTGACACATTCAAAGGACAACTATGTGTTTAAAAAAAAAAAAATAACATGGCATCAGGCAGACCACACAAACAAGGAATGAGAACTCCGCAATGGGTAAAGTCGCTCCAAAACATTTGCTCTTCTTTGATCCTTCGGTGTAAATCCGGTACCCGCCCAGGAGCCCATCCCCGCTCGGTAACAGTGTGTCAAAGAGAAGAAAAGGGCTGCGCAGCGATGACATCACAGTGCTTCAGACCAGGTTCACATAACATAACCATTGCACAGCATCCCATCAGCCATCTACCCACTCAAACGCATTTTGCACAAAAAAGGGTTTAAAGTATATGTAAACCCTCACCTTGTAAAACAACATTTCTGTTTAAAATAGAAATTAAAAGTAATGTGTGTGTGTGTGTGTGTGTGTGTGTGTGTGTGTGTGTGTGTGTGTGTGTGTGTGTGTGTGTGTGTGTGTGTGTGTATGTGTTATGTATGTATGTGTGTGTGTATATGTATGTGTATGTGTGTGTGTGTGTATATAGTAATATATATATATATATATATATATATATATATATATATGTATATACAGTCATGGCCGAAATTGTTGGCACCCTTGATATTTCTCCAGGAAATCATGTATTTCTCACGAAACGTATTGCATTAACACATGTTTTTGCTATACACATGTTTATTCCCTTTGTGTGTATTGGGACAAAACAAAAAAAGGGAGGAAAGAAAGCAAATTCGACATAATGTCACACAAACCTCCAAAAATGGGCTGGACAAAAGTATTGGCACCCTTTCACAACTGCGGATAAATAAGAATGTTACAAGCATGTGATGCTCCTGTAAACTCACCCTGGGGCAAGTAACAGGTGTGGGCAATATAGAAATCACACCTGAAAGCAGATAAAAAGGAGAGACGTTCACTTAACCTTTGCATTGTGTGTCTGTCTGTGCCACACTAAGCATGGACAACAGAAAGAGGAGACGAGAACTGTCTGAGGACCTGGAACCAAAATTGTGGCAAAATATCAACAATCTCAAGGTTACAAGTCCATCTCCAGAGAACTAGATTTGCCTTTGTCCACAGTGCGCAACATTATCAAGAAGTTTGCAACCCATGGCACTGTAGCAAATCTCCCTGGTCGTGGACGGATGAGGAAAATTGATGAAAGATTGCAACGCAGAATAGTCCGGATGGTGGATAAGCAGCCCCAAACATGTTCCAAAGACATTCAAGCTGTCCTGCAGGCTCAGGGAGCATCAGTGTCAGCGCGAACTATCCGTCGACATTAAATGAAATGAAACGCTATGGCAGGAGACCCAGGAGGACCCCACTGCTGACACAGAGACATAAAAAAGCAAGACTACAGTTTGCCAAAATGTACTTGAGTAAGCCAAAAGCCTTCTGGGAAAACGTCTTGTGGACAGAATGAGACCAAGATAGAGCTTTTCGGTAAAGCACATCATTCTACTGTTTAAAAACGGAATGAGGCCTACAAAGAACAAAACACAGTACCTACGGTAAAATATGGTGGAGGTTCAATGATGTTTTGGGGTTGTTTTGCTGCCTCTGGCACTGGGTGCCTTGACTGTGTTTGCAAGGCATCATGAAATCTGAGGATTACCAAAGGATTTTGGTCGCACTGTAGGGCCCAGTGTCAGAAAGCTGGGTTTGCGTCCAAGATCCTGGGTCTTCCAGCAGGACAATGACCCCAAACATACGTCAAAAAGCACTCAGAAATGGATGGCAAAGAAGCGCTGGAGAGTTCTGAAGTGGCCAGCAATGAGCCCAGATCTAAATCCCATTGAACACCTGTGGAGAGATCTTAAAATTGCTGTTGGGAAAAGGTGTCCTTCCAATAAGAGAGACCTGGAGCTGTTTGCAAAGGAAGAGTGGTCCAAAATTCCGGGGTGAGAGGTGTCAGAAGCTTATTGATGGTTATAGGAAGCGACTGATTTCAGTTATGTTTTCCAAAGGGTGTGCAACCAAATATTAAGTTAAGGGTGCCAATACTTTTGTCCAGCCCATTTTTGGGGTTTTGTGTGACATTATGTCATATTTGCTTTTCTGCCTCTGTTTTATATTTGTTCCAATACATACAAAGGGAATAAAACATGTGTATAGCAAAACAATGTGTTAATGCAATACCTTTTTTGTGTGAAATACTTGATTTTCAGGAAAAATATCAAGGGTGCCAACAATTTCGGCCATGACTGTATATATATATATATATATATATATAAAAATCTAAATACCCTTTCCTATAAGTGAATGCATGATCTCGACTCCATAAGGGGCTTAGGGCTCCATTCATGAAGGGGAATTTACTGCTTCAAGAAATGTGGTAAAATACCACTTGGTGTTCAAATGGTTTTTGGCATTCACTAAAAAAACTCTTCTAAAAAAACACATGCAGTATTTTTCTGAAATATGAGCTATTTATCTTCTGAAACCATGCATTTTTTTTTTTATCTCGTAGTATCCAGTGGGATGGGTACAGTGGAGAAAAATTAGAACCCCTGTCGGGTTTTTATTGCTAAGGGTTTAAACTGTAGAAATGTGCCGACTCACTATGGCAATGCAGTCCCTGCAGCAGATGTATTAATACAAAAGAAAAAAAGTGACTAGAATACCAGTCAAAGGGAAGCTGCTTTCACAGGACACATGTGGTGTATCAAAAGCAGCTAAATTAAAGTGTTTGTAAAGGCGCAAGGATTTTTATATTCATGTATTCTATGCATGCAGGTAAAAAACCTTCTGTGTGCAGCAGTGCCCCCAGCCCCCTCAACACTTGAGCCACATCGAGATCCAGCAATGTGTACGACAGCCTCGACTGTCCCAGGTCTCTGCCTCTTCATTGGCTGAAACTGCAAGCAGGAGCCATGCTGCTGCCAAACACAGCTAGTTAGCCAATGAGGAGAGAGAGGAGGCAGGGAGAAGCCACAGCTCTGTGTTTGAATGGACACATGGAGCAGCGGATGCCCCCATAGCTAACTGCTTCCTATGGGGGCACCCGACGCAAGGAGGGAGCCAGGAGACCCTTCGGGGGACCCAGGAAGAGGAGGATCCCGGCTGCTGTGTGCAAAACCACTCCACACAGCAGGTAAGTATAGACATGTTTAAGCGATACTAAAAAAGTTATCTTTTTTTTTTGTAAAATAGCAAAAGTAAATATAAAATATCTTTATGAATGTCAAATATTGAATGAAAATGGTATAAATAGTCACATATATTGTGTGTGTGTGTGTGTGTGTGTGTGTACCATTCCACAAAGTTGTCGTCTTTATTGGTGGAAGAACGGCATTTATATACGTGTGTGATTTTAAAACTATATTTAATATTTGAGATTTTATAAAAAATATTTTGTATTTACGTAAAGTATAACTAAAGGAAACATTTTTTATTTTTTTTTTATTTTTTTTATTTTTTAAAAAGTTAAAACAAGTAAATATAGTATATACCATCCTGTCTATTTAGAGGAAAAAATGTAAATGGTGTGATGCTTTGTAACACATTTCACCACCCTACGCACATGTCCTGCATCATAATGCCCTCCCACAGGTGTGAGCGTGCCCTGAGGAGAATTTTCTGGCTAACAAAGTAACAGGAAGCATCTTGTGGTCTCTGCTCTTAAGCAGGTTATTTAAAGTGATTGATTGTTATTTAATAAAAGTACAATCATATGATGCTTACCAACTCTGTGCAATGGTTTGGAACAGAGCAGCCCCAATCCTCTTCTCCTGCTGTCCCCTGCAGGTGCACCTGGCTACTCCTGCCTTCTGAGTACCGCCCTTAGCAAGCCACTTGCAAGGGGGGGTACTCGTGCCGACTCAATTCCGAAACCCATTGTGTGCGTCTATTGACACGCACAGTGTGGCTTGTCCCCGCCCCCTCACTCCCTCCGCAGTGGATGTGATTGACAGCAACCGGAGCCGATGGTTCCCACTGCTGTCACCGAATCCAGAGGGAGAAAGAGCGCGGCACAGTGCTGGATTAAGCTAGGGCTCAGGTAAGTGGGGGGGGGGGCAGGGGGAGCTTTTATTATTTATTTTTATAATACCTTAATGCAGAGAATGCAATCAGGTAAAAAAATTCCATTTACAGCATTTTACAACCACTTTAAACCTTCAAAGTGGTTGACAGGTTTGTTGTAAATGCATCCTATGGTACATTTACTATGATATTTGCAGTGACCCCGTGTACCTACTATTGGTAAGATGACAATGGACCACTTTTGCTTCATGCACATCAGAATATTCAAAACTGAAACTTGATGTAACATTAGGTTCTTTGACCTCTTCGGATTACTCTGCTTTCAATTTGCAGCTGGTTCGTGATAACGCAGATCTGCGCTGTGAGCTTCCGAAACTGGAGAAACGTCTTCGCGCTACAGCTGAAAGGGTCAAAGCTTTGGAGGGTGCATTGAAGGAAGCCAAAGAAAATGCAATGCGAGACCGCAAGAGATACCAGCAGGAGGTGGACCGCATTAAGGAAGCTGTGAGAGCAAAGAACTTGGCCAGGAGAGTCCATTCTGCCCAAATTGGTGAGCTCAACAGACAAAGTACAATGATCACTGAGCCGAATTCATCAGAATTGAAAGAAGGCCAAATGCCTTTATGGTGACCTATAGTAACCAGTCCTGTCCATTTCATGTGTGCAGAGTAGGGAAGGAAATAGGCAGGTTAGTTTTGGATAGAGTAGGGAAGGGTTAGAAACTCTGGTGGGTTTTTTAATATGTAAGAAAACCGTAAGGGCACCACACCAATGGTGATAAAAGTCCAGAGTGTTTGATATCTAATCCCACTGATTATGTAATAAAAAACCAAACACATTTCAGGGGTTCAACCCCCCCCCCCCCCTTTCAACAGGGCTACAATACAAATAAAAGAATATAAATGCTTATAAATTAATAGATTTGAAGAAATCAAGAAATTACAAAGATTCAATTTTTCAAAGTCTTTTATACAACATGAATATACTATATATAGAAATATTGTAATTAGCAGATCTCGTCGTTCTGATGTGACTTGTGGGGGTGCAAGTAAAAAATGTCAGGGGGCAGAGGATGTGAGGATAAAGGGCAGTTTCTAGGAGTCAGTAAGGCAGTGTCCCGGGGATCAGTGAGGCAGAGGATAGGGTCAGCAGTTTGTAGGGTAGTATACAGAAGCCATTAACTTGTGGGGCAGTATACAGTTGGTTATCAGTGCAGTGTACAGGGGGCAGCAGGGCAGAGGACAGGGAGCCAGCAGTGTACAAGGTTTAGTAGGGCCGTGTACAGAGTGTCATCAGTGCGGAGGACAGGGGTCAACTGAGTGGAGAGAGAGGGTCAGCAGGGGCAGGCAGTGGACAGGGGTCAGTGTGGCAGGGAAGGGTCACAAGGTTAGAGGACAGGATTAGCAGGATTGAGGACAGGGGGTCAAAAATCCAATTCCCCCTCTTAGCCAAAATCCCCCTACCCCCTCCTAGCACACATCTCCCGCATCCAAATCCCCCCCCCCACCCCCAAATTGCCCTTTCCATCACAAATTGTCCCTATATGCTCCACGAACCTCTCTTCCCACTTACAAATGATTGTTGCCCCCCAAGTCCCCTTCCCCCATTGTGTGCCAAGTACAATTCCCCCCCCCCCCCCCCCCCCATCTCCTCCAAGGGCTGCTCGTCTCCTGGCAACAAGAACTACGAATAGGGGACGGGATTATCAATTTTTGTACAGTCCAATGTAAGAGTGATAATCTGTTATCTGCTGCATGGATGAGCTCTGTTATGACAGGAGAAGGGAGAGCATAGCACAGCCCGCACCTACTCCCTCTGCCACTGTCACTTCTGTATGGACTTTTTCACTTTAGTTCACTGCACCAGGCTGCCCCCCCCCCCCTTACATTTTTTCACCCACATTGCCTTATGGGTTATGTCACTGTCATTTGGTGCTTGATATCAGCCATCATTGCATAGTATTGCACAGTATATTATACCTTTTTATGGTACAATTTTTTGACACACTCCCTACCTGGTGGTGTAACCAATGTGTTGGTGCTGCAAGTGTATTAGACCGTTATCTGTCACTATATATGCAGCACTCTATCACTAAGACCGATCTTGATGTTGTTTTTATGTGATTTTAGGTCTTTTTGTATCATCTCATACTGAGGTGATAGTGAACCAGGGTATTTACCCTAGTTGTCCATGTTATATTGTGTAATAAAGCATAATTTTTGGAACTACTTTCAGTATCGCTTTCTGTCCATTATGTAACCACTTTTTTGTGAATCTCTTTTCACGGTCCCCTTTTTTTGTAAGCATGTTTTTTGGTTACTGGGCAGAAACCATATGTTGGGTGATACAGTATATTTATAAAGCCTCTATGTTCTCTCTTGCTTAATTTATTAGTGCCCCCCCCCCCCCCCACCTTGTCCCAGCCCTGACTGTGGGGATAGGGGAAGGAGCTTAGTGGCCAGGCACAATGTGCTTGAGTGGGCACAGGCCACCCCAGAACCCCCCTTTCCCCCCCAGATCTGGCAGTTACACTGGTATTCAATGGGGTAAGGTAACCGTGTCCAATTTTTTTTTTTTTTTTTTTTTAAACAGTGCAAAGGAACATACAACATCATAATCTTCATTGCTGGTAAAAGCCACTTATGTTCCATTTTTTTGTCTTTTTATAGGCTTGAGTATATATATTCCATTACACTGTTTTAAAGAAAACAAAATTAGATACTTTAGTGACATTGACCATATTGCATGTTTTTAACAGTGTGATTATAACAATCCTCTATATGGTATCAAATTAACATTCACGTTCTATTAAACAAAACTAAAATGATTTTTTTTATTATTTTATTTATTGTAAAGTGGATTTATTTAATTTGTTTAGTAGCCCTAATAATGGGGGGAGTGCCTCAATTTCTCAAAAGCATTGGGTCTCTTATGCCTCTGGTTACAGAAAAAAACAAAAAAAAAACCCACCTGTACTCATTGGTGGACAGTGAGTACCATTTGGTGTGGTGTCCTTACTGCTTCTTACAGCCCCCCTTTTTAGTTCCGGTGGCACATGTGAGCAGCCTCACTGAAGTAATTGAGGTTTATTAATGAGATGCCACATTGGGCACTAATAGGGGAACCTGAGAATATTCCTATGCATGTTTCCAGGTTCTTGATGTTGTCAGTGTGCCTGGTATTCGCTTTTTCTGCCCTTCATGTTTCATGTCTGACCATGGATAGGGACTCTTTTCGGGGGACATTGACCTCTCTAAAGACTTCACCCTCTGTAGCAGTGAGGACACACATAGGCAATGGCAATCACATAGAGAATGAAATGCTAACCTCGTGGGAGAGATGGTAGTGAACAGCTGTGTTCATTTTCTTCTCATCACCCTGGATAATGCAGCCGGCTTCCCTGCCATGTTATGAATGCCGATTGCAGCTGTCCCTGAGCCATCATCACCTGTATGCCTGGCAAGGTGAGGATATTGTGTCAGATGGCGCCCTCTGGAGGATGTATACGGGAAGGTTGTTACCCACAGGCAGGCAGAGAAGGTGGGATAAAGTGACTTCTCCTCTTCTGTTTGACCTCCAATGCGGACATGTTGGTATAAGATAGGCATGCTGCATTCCTGGTCTGACCGGCCAGAAGGGTTGCTGAATTGTGATCTTTTTTTTCTTTATAGCTAAGCCAATTCGCCCCGGGCATATTACCATCCAGCAGCTTCTCCGACAGCCATGCACGCCGTCCGAGGTGGAGGCACAGCCGTGCATTCTTCAGCTTATTATCACAACACAAAATAATTGGCAAGTGAGTATATGCAACACAAAAATAACCACACACATGCTACATAAATGTTGATTAAACAGATTTATGAACCCAGATTGTAAGCTCTGTCGAGCCGGGCCTCTGTTTCCTCTTGTACCAAATTGTATTGTAACTGGAATGTCTACCTTCATTATGTAAAGCACTGCGCAGACTGTTGGCGCTATATAAATCATGCATAATAATAATAATAGTAAACCATCACTTTGGCCAAAGTTGCATAAGAGTCACATTTAAGCGGTATTAAACCCAAAACCAAACATTTTATATATTGCAGCTTACCAATCTTTACATGTGGTCGTTGCATTAGTTTTGTTTTTTTTAGGCTTTTTCTCCTCTGTTTTCACCTGATGATCTGGCCAGCAAAACACTTCCTGGATTAGATTGCCCTCACTCTGGATGAAGGAGCACAGGGGGGCACATTTGGACAGCAGCATTGTTGTCTGAGGGGAGGGAAGCATTAGATGTACTAGCAGATTTAGATTTGGCAAACCTTTACAGCGAAAGCTGATCATTGTAACCACCCCTGCCAGTTTTTAATGGTTTGTCTCATCTGTGTAATTGCAAGAGGGCTTGGTATTTTGAGAAAAAAAACAGACTTACCGGCAAGATCAGCAGATGAAAATAGAGGACAGCCTAAAAAAAAAAAAAATGAATGCAGTCATCCCTTCTAAGAATTGGTAAGCTGTGGTGCAATAAATTTTGGCTTTTGGGCTTAACACCGCTTTAACCTGCTAGTTAAATATAAATGGCCTCGGCACTCATGTCATTGATGTCAATTGGAAGGCACAAAGAGTATAGACGATTTTCTCCCACTTTGCTTTTCTCTGTGTAAAATTGAGTACAAGGAAATATATAGTAGCTAATGAGGACAGGTCCAGGATAGCTAAAAGGAGTTCCTGTAACCCTCAGGTGTCATGTAAAGCCCGTTGTATCTTTGGGGATGGGGGGGGGGGGGTCTTGAGATAGAACTAAAGGCAGTTAACATTTTGAATGGAGTAAGTGAGGATTATAACCTCTGTCAGGTTTTTTGCCCTCTTGGTGTCGTTTTGGGGAGATTTCCCTTCACTTCTTGTCCCATATCCAAAACAGGAAGTGAGAAGAAATCCCTGGTTGTCACAAGCTAGTGTCCCACTGGAAGATTTCCCATCTATTCACGTTCCTGTGACAGCCCAAAATCTTGAATTTTTATACCACTAAAAACAAGACAAATACAGGGGGTGAAACACCCTAAAAGGGCCACAGACAGCAATAAAATGCTGACTGGTGTTCTAATCCGTCTCCGGTTGGTAAAAAATGTGTTTTTTGTTTTGTGTTTTTTTTTTAATTAAAGCAACAGTATATAAATATTGATCAAGAAACCCAAAAAAAAGAAAATGGAGTAACCAGCGCAAACCCACACACAGGACACCATCTGCATGGAGTTTGCATGTGTTCTCCCTGATTGGAATGTGAACCAATGACTCTAGTGCTGCAAGGCAGCAGTGCTAACCACTAAACCAGCATGATGTCTCTACTGCTGATCTTTTTTTAAAAAAAAAAAAAAAAAAAAAAAAAAAAAAAAACCTTAGAGTGGCAATTTTTCCATTACTGTTGTCCCTTTATGAAAAATACTAGTTCTCTGGCGTTTAACCATTGGCTACAGTTCCATGATTTGAAACCAGTATGGAAATTAGGCGTTCTTACATTTCTGACCTATGTGCTTGCTTGAGGTAACGGACTCCATACATTACAATCAGTCAACTAGCATTTTCCTTAGAAGGCCATCAGTGGCATCCTATGTAGTTTTCTTGGTTTTCCTTGAACCTGTAAGTGGGAATAAATGGGATAGAGCAGAGGTGTAATCCTTTAGATTACGGGTGTCAAACTGGTGGCCCTTCAGCTGTTGCCAAACTACAAGTCCCACGAGGCATTGCAAGATTGACAGAAGCATGACTCCCAAAGGCAGAGGCATGATGGGACTTGTAGTTTCACAACAGCTGGAGGGCCGCCAGTTTGGCACCCCTGCTTTAGATTGTAAGCTCTGTGAGCAGAACCCTCCTGTTACTTCTGTATTGAATTGCATTGTAATTGCATAGCGCTTTACAATATAAAGAAGGATAGTACAAACTGTTGGCACTATATAAATCCTGTATTATAATAATATTTCAATGAATATAATTAAAGCCCTTATGTGCAGTTGTCTTTTGCAGCAAATATTTTAGTTTGTTTTTAGACTTTGTGCAGCTCTCTCTTTGTTGAGGCTTGTATCAAAACTGTCTCATAGGCATAGATATCCAATATCATTTGTATAAGCAACATCTGCAAAATGCAGTTCTATGACATTTTATGATTGCTCGAAGGGATTTTTGATCATCTTACTGGGGTTTCCGCTAAGCAAAAGTGCCGATTTATTTCATGTTTGAAAGCATAAAAACTGAAGTCCTGAGGATAGATTCTGCCTCCCCTAATCACAAACTCAGTTCCTCTGGTGTAATAAGGAAAGAAATCCTTCCCCGGCATCTCTATAGACATGCAGCACCCAAGAGCAAGGCTCCTTGTGCAGATAATGGCTGCAATTTGACTTCAAGCCCTGTGCAAACTTATGGGGAAAAAAAAACAGTAAGTTGATGACCTGAACAGAGGGCGAGAGTTGCAGGAACTGCAGTCCACTAATGAAGCAAGGTTTTCAGAAAGTTCTTCATTTATTTAATCTAAATAGATGACCAAAAAAAAAAAATCATAAACTGTAATTGTGTTGAAAATGTAGCAAGGGGAAGCTGCAGTCAACATAAAAAGCTTTGTTTGTACAGGCGTACCTCGGTTTACGAATTTAATGCGTTCTCCGGGAGTTTTTGTATTGCGAAAAATTTGTAAACTGTTTCCCATAGGTATGCACTGAAAACCAATCAATCCGTTATGGAGGTCAGAAAAAAGTAAAAAAAAAAAAAAAAGGCTTTTATCTGTTCAAAACTTTTTATAAAGTGCACTTTAAAGGCATAAATACTGTACAGGGCCGTGATTAAAAAAAATTAGTATACTCTGAGGAATATGCTTCCCTAGTGGTATGATCTTGGTATCCAATGGTATGTTCTTGGTCCTAAGAAGATGTGGGTTTGGCCCGGGAGGGGATGGTGTTGTATGTATTCCCCCTTCTGTGCCCTATCCTGGTCTCTTCTTGTCTTTCTATGTGTGTGTGTGTGTATGTGTGTATATATATATATATATGTGTGTATATATATATATATATGTATGTGTATATATATATATATATATATATATATAAATATTTTATTTATTTATTTTTTTTTTTCTCCCATTCTTTTTCTTTGTGGATTTTCTGATTTTATACTTTTGCCCCTTTTGGGGCCTCTGTTCTGTCTAAAATGGAAAAATGTGCAGGCACAGGTACCCTTCTGATATAGAATTAAGTGTCCTTAAATATTTTGATCAACCCATAGCTAATGCACCTATCTCCACTCTTAACTAGGAAAACACATTGACTCCTGTTAAATTCAGAACAAATAGTGTATTTATATTTGTGTGTATGTTGACCAGTTCTCACCTCTAGCTGCACCCGCTTTGACATTAGTCTGTTTCCTGAGAAACATCCCCCCCCTATTCATGTGATCCTTATCCGCTTCTAATTGGGGTGGAGTTGAATGTTCATTTGAGCATCTCCCTATAAATTTAGATCAGCTCATGGGGGGAGATCACTGATGGGGGGGAGGGGGGGGCCACAGTCTCTGATGGGGATGCTGCTTTTGTGTGAGTGCTGCGTTGATGGAGTGCTAAGAAGAAGCAGTTAAACACAACAGTTGAACTAAAGCAGGAGAACTCAAGCAGCAGGAAGACACAACAACAGCAAGAAACTCTACTGCATGCTGGAGAGACTGCAAGCAAACACCCTGGGAAACATCTCTTACAAATCTGAGTCCCAATTCGTGTCCCTTCTACTCCTCCTTTTCATATCACTTTCTTGTGTTCCCAAAATCTTATTTCTTTACCCCTCTGCTCCACCCCAAAACTTGTACATCTCACCCTACCATCTCCCTACTACTGCTCTCATCACCTCCTGCTGATACTTCACTCTCCTGCTGACCCAAACACCAGGCCTGGAAGGCATGTGCACTCGTGTACATCCCGCTCCCATGTTACTTTCCTCACACTTCTTCTTCTCCTAACCTCTGGGGATATTACCCCAAACCCTGGTATCTCACCACTTCACTCACCCACTAGGCACCCTCTTACCCCCACGAACCGCCGCAACCCCCCTCAACCTTATACATGTCCCCTGCATCCATCCCTCCACTCTCGGTTGCACTCCTGAACGCCCGATCGGTTTGCAACAAGCTCACCGCCATCCATGACCTCTTTATCTCCCACTCCCACAACCTCCTAGCGGTCAACGAAACCTGGATCCAAGCCACTAACTGCGCCACCCCTGCGGCACTCTCCTATGGAGGTCCCATTCACCCAGACCGAGTGGCTGTAGAGCTGGTGGGGTCGGCGTGCTCTTGTCACTGCTGACCACCTTCCAGGTCCTCCCAAACCCCCCCCCTCTCTATCCTTCGAGGCCCACTGCCTCTCTTCTCTCCCACCCCTCTGAGGATTGCAGTAATCTATCGGCCTCCTGGACCCGTATCCCGCTTTCTTGACGACTTTTCCGCCTGGCTGCCCTTCTTCCTCTCCTCTGAGCTACCACCATCATCCTTGGAGACTTCACTATCCCTATCAATGTCAACAACCCGGCTACATCCCAACTCCTCCACTTAACCTCTTCTTTTGCACTCACACAGTGCACACAGTCCTCCACCCACACCAATGTGAACACCCTGGACCTCGTTTTCTCCCATCTCTGCACTCCCCACAACCTCACAAACACCCCTTTCCCTCTCTCTGACCACAACCTCATTACGTTCTCCATCTCCTCTTCCTATAACTCCCCCCCCCCCCCCCCCCCCCCCCCCCCCCCCCCGTCAAACCCATCACCAACCGTAACCTCCGCAACCTGAACCCGGCCCCTCTCCACTCTGCAGCTGACCGTCTGTACAACA